TTTGATCTATTGCAACATTTATGTGATTGTCTTTTACTATAGAACTTCACAGAAGAAAAAAAGTTGCAGCTTGGATGGAATGTGATCACAAGCACGTAAGAATAGTTACTACAGATAGATTATAGCCAATCTGGTCGTGTTAGCTTAAATTTTTTTGGAAAACGGTTTGTCTGACACGGTATCAAAGCACACGCCACTGGGTCGAATTCAGACATTGCCTCTTGTATTAATTGTTCTGGCTATTATTCATGTTATGTCGGTCGTTCCTCTGTCTCCATTATATGTTTGATTTGACTACGTGCGTAGGTTGTGTGGCAGATAATGAGCTTTAGATTCCATATGTTTACGGTCTTTTTCAGTTAAGTGATGAAAGATTCATCTACTATATGTACTGTTGCATTTGAGCTCAGAGCTGAAGAGTTTCGGTTCTGCACGTTTGTATAAGAAAGCTGCATCATATGATCAAATAGCTTTGGTTTTCAAGTGGGTATGGAAATTTGCAGGAGGTGTCGCCGTTGACGTCCGGGAGGCTTTCTCATAGCAGTGGCCCGCTGAACGGCGGCGGAGGTTCTTTGCCGGAGGACAGCCCTCCCATTTCTCCTCCTGATGACTTTGACGACATCGTTAAGGTCTCTCTCTCTCTTTCTCCCTCTCCCGTCAACACAGTATTTTCATTTGTCTTTTCCGCTGCTTTTAATTACGGAGATTTTTTTTTTTTTTGTGGGAAGTTCTCTTCTGTTTTTTTTTATAGTAGATCATCTGCCAAGAGTTTGTAATTAGATTACTCGCCGCTTAAATTAGATTACGCACCCGAGCGATATAATCTTACTCTTGAATTGAGGATATAAAGGGTGAATCACAACCGTTGATTTTGTGGGTCTCACGTGAGTCTCTCATATAAATTTCACAAGATTAATAATTTTCATGCAATAGGTCCACCGGGTAGTTTCCCTTTATACAAGGGTTTTATACATGGGATTTACTTTCTGTACTGGTAGTGCTGTAATTAGTTACTAAAAATGAAAAAAAGCACGAACGTCGCTCTTTGAATTTTTCGTTCAGAAATAAGGTTTGCGGTTTGCCACCTTCGGTAGACGAAATAAGTCAATCTCTATAAAGTCTATGAAAATAAAAATAAAAAGGTTAGTCGAGTCGGTAAGATGACTGAGACTTTGCATGGTAATAAAAGCGCGATGTCCCCCAAAATCTCAGAGTCTATTGTCCAAGAACACAACTTCTCGCAAGAAGGCATGTAATTCATCATGAATCGTTTGCACCCAGCGCGGATGACCCGGCTTCAATCTGATTAGAGATGTTTACTTTCTGTGTGATGCGCGAAAACGAGCTCAAATACCATTTAAGTGTGACATGGAAAAGAGGGAAAGGAATTCTATAAGCTATCTGATGTTTCAGTAAATCTTGAGCCGCAGTGTTCTGAACAGACATAAGCATGCTGCTACTGGTACAATAACTCTGAACGCATTTCTCGTCATTCATTTGTTCACGAGCCAGAAAACAAGAACCATATTCCTAGACGCTGACATGTTTTCTAACAATCAAAATCACTTGTCAAAGTGTTCCCGGATAAATGCAGTAATTGGTGTTTCTAATACCAAGTCAGTGCTTTTCTTAATTGATTACCGTCTATAACGATGGCAGTTCTTCCGCACCCACAACACTCTGCAACCATTATTCACAGGCAGCCGTTCCGTCGCTGCCACCAGTGTCACTACTCCGGGCGGGGGAAGAACGGTTGGGAGGTGGTTGAAGGACAGGAGAGAGAAGAAGAAAGAGGAAGCCCGAGTCCAAAATGCGCAGCTGCACGCTGCCGTCTCCGTCGCCTCGGTGGCGTCGGCAGTAGCAGCGATCGCAGCAGCTACAGCGGCCTCCTCTTCTTCAAGAAAGAATGAAGAAACAGCGAAGACCGACATGGCGGTGGCATCAGCAGCGACACTGGTGGCGGCGCAGTGCGTGGAGGCCGCCGAGGCCATGGGAGCAGAGCGCGACCATCTGGCTTCTGTTGTGAGCTCCGCTGTCAATGTCCGTTCGCACGACGATATCACGACTTTAACTGCTGCTGCAGCAACAGGTACTGCTGACTCTTTCTGAAGATCATGAACTTAAAACAGCTTCATCATGTTAAAGTTACACCAATGCAATTAACTGCATCGTCGCGAATCCGGAGGACGCTCCACTTGGGTAGTTCTCAGATCATATACACGAGCACCAATTTAAGCTTGATCATGTACGAATCATGGAATCATTTGGATTGGTTAGGACAATGAATGCAAGATGACGTGCAAAAGAAACACGTTCCATACGTAAAATAATCAACAATTGAGATTACTGATGCTCAATAATTCTTTTCAATAGAAGCTATTTTACTCTCAAGTTTATACAAGTGCTTACGCAGTATGGGGCTTTTGTCCTTGCCGAGCAGCTTTACGTGGAGCGGTGACCCTTAAGGCTAGAGCGACGAAGGAGGTGTGGAATATTGCAGCGGTGTTGCCCGTGGAAAAGGGTGTCGGAATCGGATGCAGCGGCAAAGCTAATAGAGGCGTCAATCATCCTAGCTTCGGCAATAGTGGCGAACTTGTTGTGGCTGGAGATAACTTTCTCGGTGTCTGCATCCAGGAATTTCTTGCCAAGGGAACCGAGCTTCTGAAGCGCACCCGTAAAGGTACTTTTCGAATCTGGAAATCCGGTGAAGATGATACTGGGGAATCATTAGCGTATTGATTGAATCTTTGCGGCGCAGGTGATCTTCACTGGCAAGTTGTGTCTGTCTATATCAACCAGACCGGCCAGGTTTGTGTTGCTCTTTTTGAGTGTGTTTTACCTTATGTACTGTAATTGTGAGAAGCCCCTAGTCTTGTTTTATCATGATTAGCGTCTTGATTCTAGGACAAGTCAAGAGCTACAAACACGAATTAAATCTACCGATCCGAGGATCTAGTTATGGTTGTCATTGTTCAATGGAACTGTCTATAGACGGTGCTACAGTCGATCCAATGCCGGACAGCGTACATAATACAGTTGACTTTTAGTAAATCAGGATTTTCTAAAGGATTAGATTCTTGAACTAATTGGAGGAAATTATGACCAATGTCCAAGAGTTTTCGCCGATACAGGATTTCTCCAGTTTCGTCATCAGATTGTATCTTCATCTGAGTTTAACGCCTTTTTCAGGTTATCCTGAAGATGAAGAGCAAACATGTTGCTGGAACCATAACCAAAAAGAACAAGAGTATGTCTCTCCTGCATCAGATGTCTCAAGCATTTCCTGATCTCAATTCTCAATTCTATTAGATCCAGAGAAGAATGAAAATCAATTTAGAGAACAGGGTAGATTGTACAACATTGCATAAGCCATATTAACCATTCCCTTTGCTGGAAAATCAGATGTCATCGTGGAAGTGTACGAGGATGTGCCAGCTTGGCCTGGGAGGCACATCTTTGATGGCAGCGAGCAACGGCGCTACTTTGGACTCAAGACGGCAACGCGGGGCGTTGTGGAGTTTGAATGCAAGAATAGACGGGAATACGAGATCTGGACACAAGGTGTATCGAGGCTTCTGTCTATGGTAGCTGAAAGAAAGAGCACTTCTTGAACTCAGTTTGCATGTTCACAGTGGGAAGCCTTTGATCTTCATTATAAGATACTCCTTTTTTCACTTTTTTGCTTGAGGTTTACTTATCCTCTCAAGCAGCTAAATTGGCAAAGGCTCTAGGTTAAGCGTATATAGGTTTGCTCTGAATGCGTCGTGTCCGTGGAGTTTCACTCCATCCCTGGACGGCGAAACATCATGAATACATGCATATATGAATGCCTTGAGATGGACTTGCTGCGGATTATCTTATGGAAGGATGGAAACTTCAGATATGTATGGAATGAATTTCTCACTTTGTCCATAGACAATAGCCAAATGACCATCCCCTTGATATTAAGTAAAGTAGAGAGATGCTCTTGGCTTGAGTTACACCATGATCGACTCTGCAATGCGAATTGCGGTTTGTGAAATCGGGAAACCAATAAGTAGACATTCTCGGTTCGTGAAATTGTGAAACCAATAAGCAGACATTCTCCGTGTGCGAGATAGAGGAGACCGACTCAACGATTCAAGACTGTACTTTAATTCTGCCGGGGACCGAGATTGCTTACACATATGCTGGGACACAGCTAGTTAAACATCTCCCTTGTCGTGCGGAGATGATTGATTTGGCAAGGGAGGGTATCCGTATCCCCTAATCGCGCACAAATTTGAAGATAACACGGTTGATGTTCTATTCATCCCGTCTAAAAAAGCGAGACATCAAAATTACCGCAAGTTGAAAGGAGGGAAAAGAAAAAGAACTCCAAGCATGGCCCACATTAGCAAGATACCACACCATCGTAATGAACGACAATCGTTCCTTGTCTCGTGACTTCGGTTTTCAAATGTGGAGGCCATGGACTCGCCCCAAGTAAATTTGGCTTTTGCACGTTCATACGGGGAAACAGTCAACATGACACTTCCTCTCCGAGCATGTAGAGGAGGTCGCCCACCTCGTCAAAATCAGCAAAGCTCTCCCTTTCTCTTTCTTTTCTTCCTTTGTTAAATATAAAAGGTGAAAAAGAGACCTGAAAAATTAGCTCGGGATTTCCAGCGAAGGGGGAAAAAGTACACCTTACCATCTATATCATCGTGTCAGCAATCATGTGCTGTAGTGATTCCTATCAAGTATTGCATATGGGTGGCCCTTAATGTGGGCAAAGTTAAGTCCAGCTTATGATACCCCCAAAAGCTATTAGCGTTAGGATACAGTTTCTTCACGAGATCGATTCCTTCCTTCCACACTCAATTTACATTAGAAAACAACGCAATCATGTATAAGCCGCAGTCTCCTTCGTCTCTAAACTGAAAATGATCCAATTTGCCCCATTCCCCCAAGACATCTCGGCATTCAAAAAACATTATCCCGTATATATACTTAAAACTCCATGGACAATGCCCTCAAACTTACAAAATGCTGCAATGCATACACATCCAATGTTTGTCATGGAAAAGTTGCTACAACGACCGACAACTGGTGTCGGACCAAAAGATGGGTGGGACATGGAATGTATAGCATCAAACGTTCTATACAATCAACATTGACTAACTGCCCTTTTTTTTTAAAATTTGGTATGTTCACTTGGTGGAGGGAGAGATCTAAAACAAGGGGTGCAGAGAGGACATACTCGGATCAGAACAACACTGTCTAGCTATCGGCAGCTCTGAAGACGGTCAACAAAGATAGGAATAGGTTAACAATGTCGAGGTACAGTGCAACTGCAGCCCAGATGTATTCATCATATGAGTAGCGTTTGATCAAATTGTCTGTGTCATATACGATGTACCCACAGAAAATGAGCGACGCTAAACACCCGTATATCATCACAGAGATCCGGCCCAAAGGAAAGAAGATCTGCAGCCACAACCAACACCACCACAAAGAAGAGTTAAAACTCCACATAAAAATGTTGTGCAGCAGATGGCTTAGCACGCATATTGTTCAGCTCATATACCTGTATCATTGCAAACACCATAAGCACAATGATGGCACCAAACAAGAAGGGTCCGAGGAAGTTGAAATCCTGACCCCTCCTAACAGCCCAGAATGTGTAGAGAGTAAGGCTGACAACTACCGCAGCAGTCAAAATAACGGCTTCCAGTATGACCTTCCCTGTTACCATTCAAAACAGTATAAATGATGAAATTTTAATAGCTTAATTAATGAGCACAGACATACAAGAAGGTGATACCTCCCCTACATAGAAATTGCAATGAAAAAGAGACTCCAAAAGGGAGGAAAAGAAAAAAGAACGTAGTAAGACACCATCACCATAATTTTTCAGGAAAATGCCAGAGAGTTTCCCTCGGGGCACTAGTTAATCCTTAACGAATAAAACAAGAAGGCAGCCCAATGCACGAATCTCCCGCCGCACGGGGTCTGGGGAAGGGCCGGACCACTTTGGGTCCCGCCATGCACTAGTTAAGTCTCATTACGTATGCTTTTAAAATATAAAATTATCTATTTTGCAAGTTAACCGTTTTAAATTGCGTACTTCAAATTTCAAAGTATCTCGAAAATTGCCCTGGAGGCACTTGCCTACAAAACCCCTTACTCATATCAAGGAGTCTACTATCTAATCATAGACGTACTTATTCAGGTGATGGTGCACAAATGCAAAGCCTACCTCTTAAATCTTAAGTTATGATCAAACAAGCACACAATTGTACATGTGGTCGAGCACAAAGCAAAAGGCTATCAGTGCAGCACCACAACTTAATAATAGCTAGTTATCGAGAACTGATCGCTAGCCATTAACCAGTTTGCTTAGGCAGCGTGGCCCCGTCTTTTGCTATACAATGTCGGAATAATTACTTCATGCGGCTACCACAGTTCACAACAGCCAAATCATCCCTAACACACTTACTCTAAGCTTCATAAACACAAGCAAGAATCCATCGTCACACCCCCTTAATTGTTTTATGTATTCAATAGGCATGGACACGGACAGGTTGTGAATTTCCTCATCTTGATGAACCAATATATCAGAGAGAATAGTGTTTTCCTGATTACAGAAAACATTTCCATTCTTCCATAGAAATTCGCCATGCAGACTACTTGACCGTTCCATCTGCAATTCAAATTCTCCCTCTTGCGATTCAACTTAATTACGAGCTTCTTGAAATCAGTATATTATAAATATTCCCAAACATAGCAAAAACATAAGCCCTATCTGCGCGATTGCATCAAAGATGCCATCTTCATAAACGCTCGTTGACTTTGTTTTGCCCCTTCTCCAGTAAGTAATCGAATGTCACGAGACATGAGATCCGAAATCCAAACAAGAGAGAACAAAGCTCACCACTCGTGAACGCGCACGTCAATCCAATCGCGAACGCCAAGGTAATGGTGAAAATCCCGAGCAGGAGATAGTTCACCGGATGCCGCTGGTGATAATAGTACAGCGGACAAAGAACTGCAACAGAAAAAGGGGAAAAAAGAAAGAAAGAAGAAGAATCAAAACCGTCGCTCAACCGATCAAAGCCCGCACCAATCGACGCGCCGGGAAAAAATCTTACAAAACGAGAGGAATCCCGAAAACGCACCGATGAAAGGCGTGATGATGAGGACGATGTACAGCGCCAGGCCGGCGCCGGTGCTGACGAAGAAGTTGGCGATGGGGCGGACGGAGACGACGACGGCGCCGACGGCGATGGTGGCGAGCAGCTGGAGGGCGACGATGGAGTAGATCTTCCGGATGAAGGCCCACCGGAGCTCGGGGGTCTCGAGCATCATCGGGTACAGGGGCCTCGCCCCCGATTCCACGTCCTTCCGGTGCGGTTGCGCCCACATGATCGGGGGCGCCTGCCTGCCGTCGGGGAGGATCCCCCCCTCTCGCGGCGGAGGAACGGAGGATTTTCTCGGCGGAGGGAAAGCGCGAGAAAGCGAGAGAGAAAATGAGGGGCAGTTTTCGCGTGAATCGTGTCAGCGAGAGAAAGGGGGGAAGAAGTAGGAGAAGAAGAAGGCGTGAAGAGGGTTAACTTTAATTAGGGAAGAAGGAAAGTTCGGGATTCTTCGCGTGGGGGGGTTTCGTGCTTTTGAGCGGTGGGGATCCGGAGGGGACACGTGGCGCGTCCTCGGGACGGTACGCGGGAGATCACGGTCGTCGCGCGAAAAAACGGATTTGCTGAAAATACTTTGAATTTTTAGTTTATTGACTGATAATTTGCCGAATGACTCCTTGTTGCTTGAAGAAATATTCCGCCATAGCGGTTAATATATATCCTATCATTTCGTGAAAAATATTAGCAATTTAGCATGAATTTGATCAATCGTGGAGTGCACTATTGATAATTTGAATGTTAAGAGATTAGCGTGCTATTTAATACGGCATAATGAATTAATGATTGTGATTTATTGCGGCGGCGATGAAAATAATCCCTCCACGCCACGGGGTTGGCTGTGGGTGACTTGGCCATTAAGGAGGTTTTCTCTTTTATTTTTCTGAAAATAAAAATAGGTTGGACTTTGGAATTATTATATTATCGGAATATTCGTAAATCAAACGTGCTCCGGAATGTGGATATTCGTGTGGTGAAAAAGCCCCCCGCGGGTCCCAGCTTTTTTGGAATTTTGCACATAAATGCGAATTTCCATCCAATTTCGCCACCGTTGAAGACATGATCATCGGACAAGACAGCGTGTCAGTGAAGAAATATCAAAACCCATGCCGTCATAATGTCGCCACAACACGAAGCCTAGAATGATAGGATCCATACGTTCGAAATGCTTGATTAGGGTCTTTGCTTTCGGTCGAGAAATGGGCCTAGGCCCAAATTAAATTAAGGCGATTGAAGTTGGGAATGGCAAATCCCGGTTTCATATTCCTTCTGGGCACAAGCTAACGAGTGGGCCTCGAGCCTAGAAGAACGGCCCAATTAAGCTTATTGGTCTATGGCGTGAGCTTTGCCATGATATAATTATGATCCGAGCAAATTTTTTAGACAGTGGAAAACTGTCTCTTCGACGTTTATTAGGACGTAAATGTGAATTGTGGAATGACATCTAAACGGGATAATTACCAAAAAAGTCACAAATCTATTGTACGGATGTTGATCCAATCCTAAATGTTTCAATTTAGTCAATTTAGTCTTAAACATTTTCACATTTATCAATGTAGTCCTTCCAACTAATTTGGGCCAGAAATCACTAACGTAAACGTGGACTGTCCTACATGGCATAGCTGATAGGACGGTCAGCTCTAGCGTGGATAATTATTTGTAAATTTTTCCATTTTCTTTGGAATTTAAAAAAAAATGTAAAAATTATCCACGTCAACGTTGACTGTACCACGTAGGACTGTTGGCATCAACGTCGACGATTTCCTGTCAAAATTGACCGAAAAGGGCTATATTGATAAATCGTCAAAATGTTTAGAACTAAATTGGCCAAATTGAAAAGTTTAAAATTGAATCGGCATCCATATAATAGGTTTATGATTTTTTTGATAATTTTCCCCTATTTAAACTATTGTAACTTTTCCGACCAAAAAAAAACTTATTGTAACTTGAGGATTTTTTGTGATTTATGACACGAGCATAGAGGTTCAACTATTTGGAGGTTCATGAAACATCCGACAAGGCCCATGAGCCGGTCAAATTTAGGCATTCGAGACTGCACGTGACTTGGACTCAAAGCAGTTTGCACGCAATTAATGAGATTTAAACAGGCGACCTCTGATTCCCAAGCTGGAAATTCCCTAACGCCCCAACCAACTACACCAATTCTAGAGGATGAAATTCTGGTTCGAGCTAAACATAACGAAATCATAACTTTAAAAATCATGCAAGCTTTCTATATTTTTAGACAAAAAGACTACATTAAACACCCAAATAGATGAATTTTCTCATTTCCAAAGTCAATTGTTCTCGTCTTGTTATGTGTCGGTGCAACCGGTACATTGAGAATAGAAATACCTTTGTAAATGAATATGGTTAACAAGTGTCCCAGGACGACGTGCTAACGAGATCTTAGGTAATTTTATAAGACATACAGCTCAATACTTGTGCAGGTTGAAGGTTGAACCCATCGAAGTCACCAGAACTTGCCAAGCACCCACCCCAGTCAATGTCATGCTCATTTAAGAGGAAAATCACGTCCTCTTTTACACTGAGCCCAGCCCAGCCCAGCCCACCATGGTAAAGTTTGAGATAGGAGGAAGCAAGGATTATGACTCAATCGGCCCATGTTGGTCTCATACATATCTACACTCCTTACCCCCAAAAGAGAACAATTCATATTGAATTACGTGTACACAACTCCAACAAGGCGTTAGTTTCGATGACAAGAAAGTTTGCTCATCTCTTTGTGATCTTGGGTACAAGCTTCATTAGAAGCACAAGATCCAAACACGCCGGATCGATGCAGGAGAGTTATGCCATCAAATTATTGCCCGGGAAGATCAATTAGTCGAGACGTGCAAAAGCCGATCCGAACGCCACCGCCTGACCACTGCTACACCAGAAAAGGTCAGGGTTCGTATTTGGGAAGATGCAAAACTTGGAATGGGTATAAACGGTCAAAGTTGTCTCTCCGAGGCCGGGCAGGGGAAAGGAACGTGACCTTTTGGGACCGCGCGCACCCAAATTCCCATGCATTTTGTCACTTACATTCAAACCGGGTGCAACCAAAGCTTCCATTCTTTATCTGAACCAAAGAAAAAAAAGCTTCCGTTCTTTTAATTTTGAGATAATGACACAAACAGTCCCTGAACTTTGGCTCAATGTGCAATTTGATCCTTGAACTTTTAATTTATTCAATGTAGTCCCTGAACTTTAACATAATGTTCAATGTGGTACCTGAACTTTCAACTTGTTCAACTTGATCCCTGAACTTTTAATAAATGTTCAATTTAGTCCCTGAACTATATGAAAATATACAATATAGTCCCTAAACTTGAATTAATGAAAGGACTACATTGAACATTTTTATAAAGTTCAGGGACTATATTGAACACGTACCAAAAGTTCAAGGACCACATTGAACAAATTGAAAGTTCACGGACCATATTGAACATTGGGTTAAAGTTCAGGGACTACATTGAACAAATTAAAAGTTTAGGAACCAAATTGTACATTGAGTCAAAATTCAGGGACTGTTTGTGTCATTTTCCCTTTAATTTTCCTTTTTTTATTATTTCTTATTCTGTTTTTTTTTTAATAATATCTTGAAATTGAGTCGCCATTGCCAATAAAGTAACAGGAAAGCAAATGTGTTGTCCAATTCACTGTTTCAGTTCTGCTGGGGACAATCCGTAGTGGAATGGAGCCAAAAACGCAGACCTTTGGTGTCCCCCACCCTCAATTAAGCGGTGACAATGATGTATTGGCTATTGCAACTACATATTATATAAATATATATATTTCAGAAAAATATATTTTTGAAAGACTATAGACATTTATCCTCTAGAGTAATATAAATTGAGAATGTCATGAATATTACTTGCAAATGTGATGGATAGTGCAGATTTAACTTTAGTTTTATTCTTTTCTTTTTCTTTTGGGCCACATCCACATTTAGGGAGTGACCCATAAACTTTTAATTTGTACATTGTGATCCTTGAACTTAGTTCAATGTGCAATGTGATCCGTGATTTCTGAACTTTTGACATATGTTCAATTTAGTCTTTAAACTATATGAAAATGTTTAATGTTGTCTCTGAACTTATATTAATAGAATGACAATATTGAATATTTTCATATAGTTCAAGGACTACGTTGAACATGTATCAAAATTTCAAGGACCACATTGAACAAGTTAAAATTTTATGGACCACATTGTATATTGAACTGAAATTTAAGGACCAAATTGAACAAATTAAAAATTCATAGCCATTTATGTCATTATCCCTTCATTTTTTTCCTACCCTTTACTTCCTCTTTAAAAATTTAAAAAAGGAATCATATGTGGGTCCATATATTAATATTAGTGTAATTCGAAAGGTTTCGGATATTTCATATCAAAACAAATATGTCAATTTGTGACGGACGCAAATAATGAAGGTAATTAAGAGTCGGAAATATAATAATGGTGGGATGGTGAGAGCTAACGACCAGTGAAGAGGGCGAGGGTTCGGGTTTGTGGCAACGTTTTTGAAACTTAAGATTTGAAAATATAGGGGTAAGGTTCGCAAGAAATGATCATTTCTTTTAATAGGAGCGAGAATTGGTAATATACTCACTTCAGTTTAAGTGCAAATATATCTTATAAACAAAGAAGGAAAATCACCCATTACAACCTACTCAGAAGAAGTAATTTCACGAGATGTTTTATAATGCGTTAAGTTACAAACGGACTGAAATTATACAGTACGGGATACAATGTACATCCAACATTGTTCTGCTTGAATATATGCAAAAAAAAAAAAAACAAAACGACATTATTATAATGGAATCTGAAAATAATGTTATAGTGGGTTTACATCAATTACATTATAACTGAAAAAGCTTATATATGAAAAATAGACCACTTGAATAAAGATACTCAAAAAAATATTGTATTTAATGATCAAATATTGTTATATACAAGTGACAATTGGCTCTTTTAGATCGTTCATTGACTAATGAAATAAGCTCAAACTGGAAGTATTTTCACTAATTACATGTCCGTTTTGTTCTTGTGCAAATCATTTTAATGCCAAAAGAAAGAGAATTTTATTTTCATGTTCGTTAAACACGTGAGAAATGAAAGTTTGGCAAATCACATGCAATGCCAAGTAAGCTTTTCTGGCAGGCAAGTGGCCAGTATAACTAGTCCACTGTAATAGGGCCACAGATAGTGTGGCTAACTAGGTAGGAAGACCCACAGGAATAAAGCCCTCCCCGAGAATCGGTTGACTCGCCCTCTGCATGCCCTTGAAGATTTGCTCTGTTACGAGACCCCGCCAGTGGGTTCTTTTTCTACAAGATATTAATGAAGAGTTGATATTTCAGA